CTTTATGGATTGAATTCTATTTTTTTAATTTAGAAAAGCTTCACTGGCCAGAGCAAGAGCTCTCCAAGAAGTCCATCCTGAAGCCTGAAGAACAGAAATTCCTTTGTAAGAATGAAACCAGAAGCATTAAGTCCTGCATCCTTAAGGATAACTTCACCACAGGGACGAGCAGCTACAATGTTTTGCTGCAGAGCAAAGAGGAAAAAAAACACCAAAAACATTCATCAGCCCACCACAGAAGACTTCGGAAGTCCATCAAACCCACTCATGGCTTACGCAGCAGTGAACGCCACAAGGTTAAGTCACCGCTGCTCATCCCCCCAAATGGGTGGTACTGTTTCAAAAGGCAGCCCTCCTTCTTTATCTCCAGCTCGCTCCATAATGGGATTAAGTTAGCCCACAGTATTTCAGTGACAGGCAGCAGCATTGGATTGTCAACTCCGTCCAAGAACAAATCAAAAAGGCATTTTTCCTTCAGCCTAGGAAAGCCCAAACCATTGCAAGCATCTAAAAGCTGCTTAAAAGAAGGAGATGCCGCTGGTCGAAAGTTCTGTATCCTCACTGCCATCAAGCCTTCCAATGTGGAGAAGGAGAAGATAAAGTTCTTCAAATCAGATTTTACCTGTAACCCACAGTTTGAATATGCAAGTTCTGCCCTACCCAGTGTACTTGAAAAGCACAGCCAAGCATCCAACTTATTCCTTAAGCAGGTAAAGATACTTTTGCTATACCTATTTCTCATGCATCATTCTTTCTTATTCAATTTTTCTGCTTTCCCCTTACCTCCTACTCTTTGGTTAGGTCTGTTAGCCTAAAAAGGGGATGATCTGACTAGGGAAGAACATTTGAAAAGCAGGATGCCACAACAGAGAGAACTCTTGTGGCCTTCCTTTCCATTTTAGAAAGTGGAAGTCTTAAGCAGGGCCTCTGCTGACAGTGGCCTCTGTAACAAGCAATGGTGACATCAGAACAATAACATGTGCATCATTATGCGAATAGAATAATTAATAATTTATGTCATGATGTTTGATGTAACCTCGCAGACACCCATACCTTTTGCTTAGGCATCTATGGGAGAAAGTGAAGATGTCTCAGACTCAGGTACAGGGCTGAGGTGGGGTCAGCAGTGCAGCGCACACATGCATTACACAATCACACCATCATGGCCACCATCTTGACTTTTTTGGCACGTCCTCAGTATACCCCTGAATAAAGATATGACAAAATATGTCAGCTATATCAAGTTACAGAAGGCTGAGATCTGTACAGGAAAGTTAACAAAAAACCTGAGCAAGAGCGAGAAAGAGCTTATCCATTTTTTAATCCATTTTAAAATGAAAAAAATAGTTTCCCCTACTTTTTTTTGTGCCTTCACAAGCAGGGCCTAATCGACCATCTCTTGGGGATGATAAAACTCTAGATTTAATGCACTGAGTAGATTACCTAGCCTTTGACCCTTTTTTCACCTCTTGGATTTTGAAAGGAAAATAATTCTCATCTTGGAAAGGCAAACCAAGGGGCTTAGCAGTGTGTTAAAGTGGGGAAGAGTTTAGCTCCTCGATGGCTGGTGTGGGTCTTCCGGGCTGTGTGGCCGTGTTCTTGAAGTTTTGTTTCCTAACGTTTCGCCAGCACCTTCGACAGTTTAGCTCCTTCTTTATATGCATCACTTTTGCTTTATAATCAAGCCTTCCAACCCTAGATACATGGTTGGAATAGGTCAGGTTTAAACAAACATTTATGCCTTTGAAATCTAGTTTAATGTTACAACTTAATTTCATTAGAAAGCAAAATATATTAGGTTACCAATACTGATCATTTAGAAAATCTATTTTTTCTTGTTTTCTACCTCATGGTACCCTCTTGTCCTTTGATCCCTCTGAAGAAACAAGGTACACAATGCAGGATTAGATCAGAAGATAAGATAAAATATTAAAGGGAACAGTCTGCTTAAATGAAATGATTGTTCAATAGAAATCATATATGTATGTAATGAGCATTATAAATGGATATCAATATTCTAGGAGTTTGCTTTGGAAACTGGAGAATTACCATTCTGAATTATGGAGGTCATTTGTTACAAAATGAAATGGCACTTCCTTCAGAGCAGGAAATGTATTTTTCTTTTAGTACCAAACATTTCATAGGTTTGCATGTCAACATTTGTAGGTGTGAGAGAAACTCCTCACAGTGCTGGTATATAATGTGAATACGGAACTTCTGATATACAGTATGTCATTTGTCATACCACACAAAGACAGCTGCATTCCCTTTAGTAAGAGAGGACTGCTCTTTGTCTTGTTAAGACAAGAAAAAAAAAATCATAGATTTACTCTTAAGGTAGAACTTAAAAGTGTCTGTTCTGTTCATCACAGAAGAAGCCTTTATATAGGCAACCTGCTTTTGTGACACAAGTAATTCCCAGGCCAAGAGCAAACATAGTCACCTTGACCTCCCATTAGAACATCTAGCTTATTTAACATTTATGTCTGCTATACTTTTGTCGCAGGCCATCAGAATTATGGAACTCACTTTGCAAAAATATGGAAGCTATGAAAATTTTGAGCAGTCTACTGGAGGAAGCCTGCTGCCCAGGAGTCGCATCTGGAATCATGTCCGAAAGTATATGGCGAAAGAAGGCTGCCTCGGCGAGGTTGGGTCACCTTTGAAACATTCCTTTGAAGTAGAGAATCAGAGTTTATAACCAGCATTCCTAATTCTAGTCTCATTCTAGCCTATCAGGTGACATACATGCATTACTAGCAGGTGACCAGCTGGCTCTAAAGAGTGATAACCACATGATCTGGTGCTACCAATTATTTTTTAGAATAAACAAATGAAATGCTGTGTGAATGCATCCACTGTAGATCAATTCCTGTGTTTCATAGGGATTGGATGAAAGAAAGAAATGGAGGAGAAAACGCTATGTAGGCTGCCTTGAGTTTTTGAAGGAAATACCCAATATAAATTGCCAAACAAAAGAAAAATTGAACTATTACCTACCACCAAAAGTGAATGACATAGGAATAATTTTTATGGAAAAGGAGTACGTACTATATTAAATGAAAAATATGAGAACAACCGGGATACTTTTATCTTCTATGGTTTGTTTGTCTTTCTTCCTCAGATTGTGGTTCACCTTTCGGAAGACTTGCTTTCTCGGGCCTCGATGACTGTGGTGAATGGCCGTCCAACTCTTACCATCAATATTTCCACTGCAAGGGAACATTGGCTAGAAGGGATGCTCAGGCATGAAATAGGTACACAATAATTCTCGTGCTTGAATTTTCCCCAACCCAAAGTGCTCCAGCTATGAGAAAATGGCTAAGGAGGACTGCAGAGGGAATTAGCAGACATAGGGAAAATTAAGCACATGTCCTCGCTTGTCTGTATATCTGTGCATATGCAAACACAAATACTGTATGCTACTTCATGTATCCCACCATTTGGATTGCTTCTGCAAACATGGACTGGCAACCAGCTTTTGCAAAGTGTCAATACCGTTTTTAAATACTGGTTGTAACCCACTAAATATAACAGCCCACTATTCTTGCTAAAATAAGCTGGCATTTCAGAGGCAAACTGCTTGGTGCATTTGGCCCAGAGTCAAAATTCTATAGCTGCTTACTATCCTCAAAAGTTTCTTTAGTGGCTGATGGCCATTGAAGAATTCTGTCTCCTTGGCAGGAAGCAAAAGCAGCTGTGCAGTTGCAATAGCCTATAGTTGATGGAGCAGGAGACAAAGTAGAATTCATGTAAAAAGGATTCTGAAGAATTGTTTTGGACCTCATCTGAGTGCAGCACTTCTCTGTTCATCACTAAAATAGCCTGAGCTTTTTCAGGTTTCTGCCTGCCCCTTTAAAGAAGATAGCACTGCTTTAAGAGTTGCCTAAATTTTAATGGGTGGATTCCTTAAGTAACAGTAGCAGAACTTTTTTTTCAGGCTCACACAGAAGCCTGAAAATAATCAGGCTTATTTTAGTGGTGAACAGAAAGGTGCTGCATTCACACAAAGTATGAAGTGCTTCTTGTGAATGAATAACTCTTGACACATGCACAGCTCTGGATTAGAGAGATTTTTAATCCACCAGTGAAGCATAGTATGGGTAATCCTTAGTTTATTATGCCAGTTGGTTGCGCCGCTTAGCAATGGCAATTCCAGCAGTCTCAGTTGCTGTTGTTAAGTGAATCACTGCAGGTTGTTAAGCGAGGATGTCACATGGTTGCCATTTGCAAACTCCTCCCAGCTTCCCCATTGACTTTGCTTGACAGAAGCTGGGAAAGAAGGTCGCAAATGGAAACCATATGACTGGGATGCTGCGACATCATAATCATGAGCCAGGCGCCAAGCACCTGGATTGTGATCACATGACCATGGGGACACTGTGGGGGCTGGAACTCTGAGGACTGGTTGTAAGCACCACTCATTCAGCACCATTGCAAGTTTGAACGTTGCTAAACGAGGGGTTGTTAATCAAGGACCATCTGTAATAATTTCAGTGAAGAGTACATATGAAGGCAGTGGTATTAAGATTCTTTTTTCCTTTTGTTAAGTCTGTTTGCTTTGTTCTATAAAATCATGTTTGCCTTACCTTTTTAAGTCAATATTATGGTATCTTTGACCATCTAGTTGTTCATTGTAATCCCAAATCTGAAGTAAAAGCCTTAAAGATTTTCTGTTTTGCTCAGGAAGGAGACAAGCTCCCCTCTCAAAACAGGTAATGGTAGTCTCCTTTCAAAGAAGGGAACAACTGCACCAGAAAGTAGGAAGTTATTCTTGTGGCCAGAAAAATGGGCTAAGAGTGACAGATAACCAAGAGAAAGGCAGAGAGTGTGATTCACTTCTGCCCTGGTTTGTAGTAATCATTCTGACATTGCCTATATGTATGTTGGTACATTCTTACAGGAACTCATTATCTTAGGGGCATTAACAACAACAGCCAATTATGGAACAACTGGAGCGGGCGCCGAAAGCATGGGTTAAAGCCCATCAACCCCACCGAGGAAGGCCTGGCCAGTATTCACAGTGTTTTGTTTCGAAAAGATCCTTTCCTGTGGCGGGCTGCCCTTCTGTATTACACCGTCTACCAAGCCAGCCAAATGTCCTTCACAGAGCTCTTTCAGGACATTGGGAGATTTGTCATGGACCCCAGTACTAGGTGGGATTATTGTGTTCGAGCCAAGAGGGGCTGGACCGATACTTCAAAACCAGGTAAGCTTTCTTTGTCTTCCACTTACAGGTTTTCTTTGAAGCAGACTTAAGGGGTATGCCAGCAAGAGACAAATATTCCTCTTAATACAGAAAGCATCCTTTGCCAATAAAAGTCAGAAGAGAAGGCATCTTTCTGGGGGACAAGGCAGTACAAGATGTAGTTGCAGTTATTCAGAATAAAGTTTTCCAATGACCATGTGAAGAGAATTCTGTGGAAATTTTTGATTTTCACAGTCATAGATGACTTTTTTCTACAGTATGATTGTAATGTTGTCCCAGATGTCAGTAAAGGGAATTCTCCCCTCATTGATAAATCTCATTTATGATGAAATGCTTGGATTTCAGAGTATTAGCATCCTAGTTGTAAACCTCTATGTAAGTGAATAATCACAAGATCTCCTACTGCAAACTCTTATTCCTTATCATACTGTAATGGTTGATTCATCTTACAGCAGCAGGTTTTAGGAGTTAAATTTTAATCTTAGTTCCTTTTGTATGGTTTACTTGGGTTATAACTAAATCTCTTAGGTAGGGTATGGATTTAAATATTAATCTTTTAATATGCATCTGGATTCTATACATGTTTAGTCACTAAGTTCAATCAGACTTAATCTTGGGTAAGTATGTTTGGGGTTGCAATCTTACAGCACAATCCTTTGTATTGTAGCTATAAATCCAGCTACTTCAAAGGGATTTATTCCCAAGTAAGTAAGTGTGACATTCTTATTTTATTTTTCTTCTACAATTATAAATTCAAAGATAAATGATCTTTTTTTTATATTGCCATAAAGTAGTAAACATTCTGCATTTTTAAAAGTTAGAGCCTCCACCATGATTTCTGATTCTTTTAGGGTGCTTTAGTAAAGATCAGGTCTACTTGGATGGCATCCTACGAATTCTGAGATACCGACACTCTATTGATTTCTACTTATTGACAGCCCTAGGAAAGGTGAGTAAATGACTGGATGAGAAAACATCAACCTAAATGGGTCTGTTTCCAGTACAAATATACTATATAAGACTGGAGGCAACTGACATGCAAATGGCAGCAACAGGTATCGAATAGTTAGGAGATTAGTGAACATGTTGAAAATATTATAGATGATATTTTGGTTTCAGGAATTGGGAGATGTTGAAATTGTTCATGGCTCAACTGAAGAAGTCTAATGACTCATTATGTCTGTCAACTGAAGAAGTTTAAGGTTTAAATACCCCTGTAGACAAATGGCAAATATTCAGTTAGTACATTTACTAATTTCATGCCCACGCACTCTTCTTGCTTTTATGCAGCTCCCAGGCTTTTTAGTAAAGCTTTTACAGATAATACTCGTTTCTATTGTTCTTCTGAGAAGTGCCTTCTTGGTTTAAGTTAATAGTGATGTTTGTGTTAATACTGTCAGGTGTCCTGAACCTTTTCCAGCTGTTTGTGATATCCCTGGATTACTCCATGGTTATAGTCCCTAAAATCACTGAAAAGATAAAATTACTTTATATGAAACCATCCTGCTTTATTTCAGGAGAATACAAAATGGGATACCTTCTATTTCCTTCTTAAATCCTTCCTTAGGCTAGAATTGTTTGAGGAGCTAGAAGGGACAACTTGTAAATACTACTGAGACAAAAAAGAATAGAGAGAAATATCCTTCTCTTCCTCCAAGGTCTAAGTCCAGAAGAAGTCTGCTGGTCCAAGGACTTTGATTTTTGGAAGAAGAGGAAGTTGTCTTTATAAAGTGCCTGCTTCTGGAGTCTTGATTTTACCTGCTCCACAAATAGCTGTGATGTGGGTAAATTTGCTTTTCATAATACTGGCATAGCAATGTTTTGTAACCTCCTGAAATGACTTTTATGTCTACTGAAAAAAATCTTGGATAGTTTTAGTTTCCCCTGAAAGAGGACAGCATTCCATTCCATTGTGACCATCTTAAATTGGGATTAAAATAAAGTCTCCTTTGAGTTGAACTTCTTTCCCAGTGACTTCCTGGACATATATATGCACTTTTTTGACAGTATTATAGAAGTGATTCACTACTGCCTTCTTTGGGGATAGTTTTCAACTTTCTAGTCTACTTACACCTCTGCTGTTCTATGGTAGTCTCCCTTTTAAGTACTAATGAGGTCCAGTGCCACTTAGCTTCCAAGATCAAACAAGGTTGGCCAGGTGCTGCCACCTATTGGTTTCTTCTGTATTGCACTTTATTTTTGTTAAGGAGGTTTGCTTCCAATTTTGGTTTCATGCTGAAGCTACAGCTAAAGGTAAAAGCATGTTTAGAGAAATTAGATGCTTTGAAATGAGGTTAGCCTGGAATTATTTTTCCCCCCTGATATCTAGGTTTCATATGAGGATGTGGATCGCCTGAAGGATTTAGGAATGACTGAAAACATGAGGGTGCCACATTTTTTGCAAGACTATTCTCGGTACATGGAACATCTAGAAAAGATTATGGAAGTCAATGAGATATCCGACACTGAACTCCAAGCTCTTATGCCCTAAGCCAGCCCATCTTTATGTTTTACGTATATCAGAGCTGAAATGTAGAGTGACCTAACTCACAGAAGTGGATTAACTAAACTTATTTTTGATGTCTGGCAAAACCCATATTTTTGGACCTGCTTCTCTGTTTTTTAAGACTGAAAAACTCTGGCTACAATTCTGGAGTTCATTGCCTTCCAAAGAAAGAAAAAAAATCCACTCTGCCCTTTTGAAGTAATTGTAGCCAGAGTTTTTCAGTCTTAAAAAAACTTATTTTTGATGTCTGGCAAAACCCATATTTTTGGACCTGCTTCTCTGTTTTTTAAGACTGAAAAACTCTGGCTACAATTCTGGAGCTCATTGCCTTCCAAAGAAAGAAAAAAAATCCACTCTGCCCTTTTGAAGTATATGAAAAAATATGTAAACTGACCAGATTAAATTATAGCTGGAACATAGACATATCTTTTAAGAAATTATTGTGTAGATTTGTCTATAGTAGCTTTTCAGATTGTGCTGGCTTTTGAATTGTCTCTCTAGAGCATAATATTTAATATTTTGGGGCTTAGCTGCTTTGATTTCTTTAGCCCACTGACTTTTACTATATCAAAGGGATCAATGCCCTACAGTGTGGTTTGCTATCACCACACTTCCAATCTCTGCTGTTACTATTGGAACTGCAGGGATACTACTGAATGCTTGCAAGCTACTGGAAACCTGGCTACATCTCATATGACTATAAATATAGTCGGTAGTCTTGTGGATTTTTCCAGAATTATGTGGTGTGAAGATTATACTCTTGATAGAAACTAAACAGGGCATTTACAGTGTGTAATCCATTTAATGTCAGTTTGTCTCATTGTAATTCAGTAATGGAAGTTATGTGAAAGGGCAGGGAAGGAAATTGATCTCCCCTCATGTTCATTAGATAATTTCATAAGTGCATTCCACTGACTTGTCTTCATATTTTCATATTTCAGGAAATCTAATTTAAGGAAATGACATTCTTTTCCTCTTTATTTTATTTTTGATCACGCATAAATAGAATTACAAAAGGAAACTGGAAAGAAATAAAACTTGGAATTCTATTTTTTTACATCTATTGCAGAGCTGCAGTGAAAGATTGTGATATGTAAACAACTTTCTCTCTGTGTGTTACTGATGTAGGTATAACAACTCTCCACAATATGGTGCTGTCAGATATTTTGTTGGGTGCAAATGGGTTTGCATACCTCAACAAAGGACTCCCACTTGTTTATACATGGCTGCAGAGACACTGAAGCCTATCTGAAAGGTTCATGCTAGCCCACCAGAATTTTTTTTCTCTTTTTAAGATGTTGATGCTAGCACAATGTGGTGGGATGCAGAGCTCCATACACATTTTAGAGTGGATTTTCCAAATCCTTCCACAATTCTTGGTATTATTTAATTTGATGCCAAATGGCGTATTTTGAATGAAAACCTCATTGAGCAAGAAGACAGGAAAAAATTAATAATCCATCACAGTAGAATTGGAAAAACAGTATTCTGCAATACAATGATAGTCAAAGTACAGATTTACAAACAGAGGCCAAGAATACGCATACCATAGCTTCAATTGTTATTACTGTATTGTTTATGTTATATAAACTGGATCCATTTCTGCTGTGAGTGAATTCAATGAAGAGACTCCTGTTGATTTTGGAGATCTCTGATGTTGGCTGTTTAGACCAAACTCAGTTAAACTGATGGTTCATCATAATACTTTAACAGCAGCCTAAACTGCACAGAAATAATCCAAATAAAGTCTAAATAAGCACTGTATGTGCTTCTTCAGTATTTACTTTTTTTGTAGCACAGGCAATGCATTGCAACTGTGCCTTACATTACAGACCTATTGTAACTGCATGCTATCATTCAGATTGTCTTAGTACAACATGTTAATACAGTTAAGGGTCAGTATGTTCCTGCCTTTGTTCCTTACCTGTCCCAATCCTATCCCCTTCAACCTATTGCAATTGGAGTGCCATAAATATAGGCCTAGGAAAAAAATAATTCAGAGTATTTGGGAAAATATGGTAGCAGGTCTCCATAGAGAAAGATGACTGAGCCCGGGAGTGGAAGGAATAGGTTTTGGTGGAATTGCCCCATAGTTCTTGTCAAGAAACAGACAGGGGGAAGGGGGGAGACAATACTGGCCTGATATTTTACATATCTCTCAGGTAAAATCTAAATCCAGTCTTAGGATGTAGCTATGGAAACAATGGATTCACATTAACGTTCATAGAATTTGGTGCTTTAACAAAAATAATGTTTATCTATACTCACTTTTCTCAAGCAGAAGGATTTAGCAGCAGTGATAATTTTATTGGCCAGCCTGGTAATTCCATGTCCTACCTTACATCTAATTGTTAGATATTGAAAGCAGTATTTTCCTACACGCTTGAAGTGTGGATTTAAACATTCAGGTTATAGACTTCACGTATGGTCTAATTTTACATATTACATTACCACATTCATGTTATCATTAGTAATGGATTTGTCATTCTGCCCTGCCAGATATCGTTCTCACAGGAATGTGCAAAAATTGTGATATATGAATGATATATGAACATGCAAAGTCATTTTCTATCCACAGTGGGTCTTTAAAAAAAAATCTGGTGCAATTTAACTGTTATTCTAGTTTAGAATACGTAGTACAGTAATTTGATAGTCAGCTCATTTCTCCATCAGAAAGACCACCCCATCAATTGCTTTTAATACTTGTTTTTTTCTCTCTCTCTTTATATAAAATGTTTTGGATTTGTAATGGTAGATTTGTAAAGTTTTTCTGGATTTTTAAAATTGTGCCAAACTTGTTCTTTAGCTGTTGTAATGAAGTGGTAAAATAAAGGATAAGAATGGCTCTCACCAGACTGTCTCATTATGGTTATGTATCACTTAAAAGAAGTTATTGCTAGATAAATTTATTTGAACAAATACAATTCTGCCCCTTTATCTAAGTGTAAGGAGTAGCCTTATATTACTAGATCAGTGATTATGAAACGTTATATGTTTCATATATAATGATTCAAACATAATCCATATGTTTGACTAATAGTATGTTTTTAAGATGTTACTCCATTACTCTTATCCTGATGCTTGAGACATGTAAATAAGTCTCGGGAACAAGTAAACTAACTGTATTTGACTGCTGGGCGGTATTTTAACAAAGCAATCCTCCCCTATCTGTTTTCCTTCAGATATTTTGGATTACAACATATACATGTACAGGTAGTACAAATTCCAGCAAAAAATAACTGATTAAGATAATGGTTTTTCCTGTACAGAACCTGGAGATACTTCCAAGAAAGGCAGAGGTTGAATCAACAGAATCCTGAGTATAACTCTAATTATTCCCTCCTGAGCCCAAGTTCATCAAAGGCAGTAGTAAGAAACTGGACTGCGATATTCTCCAACACTTTATGTTTGTCGCCGAGAACCCTTTAAATAGATTTGGGTAGAACAGCAGCCCAATTCAGATCTCGAGCTCAAAAATCCCCTCCTTTGGAGAAATTTTTGTGAAGTCAAGCTTCAGACTCAAATCCAAACAATTTTTTTTCATACTGTAGCCTTGAACTTTGCTGTATTATTCATTCTTCTTTACTGAAATGGCATCCTGACAATTATCCACACCCTTTTTACTCACTGATCTCTCATTTTTTTCACTCTATATCAATACCATCACATTTTGCTTGACTTCTGAATGAGTAGTTATTTGAGTCCAATAAAAGAGATTATCTGTAGCTCAGGGTTGTACTGTGAAGTCCATGGTACTCTGAGCTTGGTTGTTTCCTTGCAGATGTTTCATTACCCAACTAGGTAACACACTGATGATGTTACCTAGTTGGGTAATGAAAAGTCTGCAAGCAAACAACCAAGCTCAGAGAGTACCAAAGGCTCCAAAGTTTTTTGGGTCTATAAAAGATACTGTGATAGACAATTGACTAGTTACCTGCAAATATTGTCACAAATGTAATATTACAACTTCTCAAATACAGAAAACTGGATGTAGGAGAAACAAATGTGAATACAAACGAGAAGAGACACAGGATGATTTAGTATATTTGCAGGGCAAACCGAGGCTTATGGCCAATTTTTTACAGAACAGGCATCAGTTTCCTGTTTGGAATACATCCCTGCCATTCAATTTTGAGAAACAGTAGCACACTCAGGTAATCCTTTCCTGGATTGATACCCAGTTAATGCTAAACAGATATTATATTCCCAAAGGGAGCTGCAGTAAAGGTCTTGTAACAGTTCAGCTTAGTGTTTGCAGTAGCATTACTGAATTATTTTTTTTAAGAGCAAATGGATGGTGGCAGATTCATCTCAAAAACGGGAAATGTGGGCTAGTTCATGAAACTGCATTGTGTTCATTAGTAAAAAAAAATCCACACATAATATAAATGAGGGAGGTGTGAGTTCATTCAATCATGACTTTCTTCCAACTAGATTTGTTTACAAAAGCAGATGATGTCCATAAATTCCAAATAGTTAAGCTGAACATTATAGATTTAAGCCAGTTTAGTCTTAATTGTCTTGATAATGTCCTTTTGAAAGCTAGTTGAGTCAGTGTTTAGCTACTGCTTTATGGTTATCTGCTAGATAATGCATTTCCTGATAAAAGTGGAGTAAACATGAAACAAACTTAAAAGATTGTTTATCATTTCTCTCCCCACCCTTTGTTAGTCATGGAAAGTTTTCCTTCCAGGCTAAGGGTTCACAATCTGATGAAAGAAGCAATAGATTATTTTTCTTTATAGAGGATAATAACTTAAAAATTAACAGTGGGGTCATTTCAAGGTAACTTCCTGATAACTGATTTCAACCTCCTTGTCTCGTTCACGTAATTTAATTTGTTCAAGCTATCACACAGAGTTTTTTTGTTTTTTGAGGGTTGGACCTATTGTAGAGCACTGAGGTCATGACAGAGAAGACTTTGAAATTAATTCCCATTAGTGGAATATGCTGCACAAGAAAAAATGATCCAGAGCTTCTACACCCTAGGAAACCCTAGGAGTTCATAGGAGTGAAGGTCCTCTTTAAGATACACTGGACCCCATCCATATTGGGTATTTTAACCTTACTATTCAGTGGAAAGAATTCTGCAGTTCTCATGAGTATGCTCCTATAAATTTCTTTAAAAATTTATTGTTCTAATCAGTTTAATGATACACAAAACATTATATATGGCATAAGCCTCTGAAAAGTAAAATCTACAGGGTTAAGTCCAGGCTTAAATAGGTATTTTGAAATTAATCATGACAAGTAAATCCAATCATGACAAGTTTATCCAATTGATATCAATATATTCAACCCTGACTAAAGAAGTTTATTGATTCCTTATTCTTACAGTTCCATTCAAAGAAGAAAGTGTAATCAGGCATCCTTATGTACAAAACTGGCTAAGCACTGTTTAGATTTCATTTGATAAATTTTAGGAATAATTGCTAATGGTCATGCTAGCTGAAATTTAGGGAGTTTTAATTATTAATTATTTTTTAAATTATTTTTTAAAATTAAGCAATCTAGAAGGCACCAGGTAAGGCTGACAGAGTTATCACCTTTTCAATAGACTTTGGTGTTTTCTTTTTTCAAATGATTCAACTCATAACTCATTATATCCCAATGTCAAGACTACTAGCTGTAGTAAAATATAAGGTGGGTGTTATATGTAACAGCACTCAGGGATTAGTTTCCATTGCTGAAGTACCTCAAGCATGTGACAATGCATTAAAAATTAGTTGTTGAGTCTGCTCTTTCATGAACTATTATCTTCAATTGTAGCATTTTATTAGAAGTAGAAAGAGGGAGATTGTGAACAAACAATATTAAAAAGTGCATTTTATTTGCAGTTATCCAGATATCCAGCCACAGAAGCCCCCTCCGTGTCTCCATAAGTCACAATCCACTCAGTGGCAATGGGATATCCTAAAACACCCACCAAGGGGACAAAAGTGGGAATGGGAAAGGGAGATGTTAAAAGCAGAAGCTTATTCATTTTTAATTGAGGAAAATACACAGCCGTTCTTGTTCACTGTCAGGCCTTGAGCGAAGGAATCTTCTAACCATCTTTTCTGGGAAAGGAAAAAGAAGCTTGCAAAGTCTTTCATCACCGCTCATGTTTAGAATTCAAGTCAGTGCATTCCACCATCACTCCACTTCCATTTCGAGTTAGATCCTTTCTATTCCAGTCCCTCTCAGTGTAAAATTCAGCTAAAACTGGACAGTGACTTGATGCTACGCCACCCCATGACCAGTTATCAGGGATCCAGGGGTTTGTAAGACCTTCTCTTACAACTGCCCAATGACCTGTGGAAACAAAATTGTGCAGGGGAAAAAGGTGAGTATCAATATTTGGGAAGACAAAAGAAACCCCAACAATGACATGGAGGAAAGGATCTCACTTTTAAAGGTTAACTGGTGTGCATTTTGTTGGGGACAGTGCATCAAACATTACAGCACCAAGGAACTAAGTGAATGCAGACCTATTTGCAGGGGAGGCTGGTGTTTAATTCAAGTTTTTAAAAGAAAATCATAGCACAAAGAACAGAAAATGAAATTAAATGTGGGAGCTTATACATAGTTACTGAATCCTTCTCCTGAATAATTACTATATTTCTAGGTTATTAAAAATTAACTTCTAGTTTACACAGGAGTGAAAAAAATTACTGAAGAAACTTGACATGTAACATAATAAGGAACACTGCACACTGAACATTATCTGGCAGACATGCCTTGTGGTCAG